TACTTTTTTGACTGTTTTTGACTGACTGTATGTATATATATATATATTTATATATATATATAACCGCGAGTTGAATTGCATCAATCTGGGCAAAAGAAGGGGGGAAAGAAGGAGAAACTCAGACAGATTTATGTACGAAAGCGGTGCCATGTAATAACCACACAAACGCACGAAATTAAAGACATCACTTGAAACTAAATGAGCCAAACATTATTTTTAGTGTTGGTCGTATAAAAAGTCATACAACATGCAACCATTCGATTAAATTCATTTGCTGGGTGTTACTTCGAAATGACGATATGTTCAACATAGCCCGGAAAAAACAGCGTTGCCGTTACTTACAGTTGATACATATATTATTTACAAAACAACGTATAATACCTTCTTTCCTAAGTTAATGTTTTAGAAGAAAAAAGACGCTTTTTTCTTGTACAACTGAAGCTTCATCATGACAAACAAAGCGGCACTTTTGCTGAAATGAAATCCATTCCATCATGATTAATTATATGTCGAATGAAAAGATGAAGAAACAATTGAATCTTTAATTTTGATGCGATTGAATAACCAAAGAAAATGAAAAATGAATGAACAAACATCGACAACAATCAACAGAACCATCACCAACAGGGGGAGAGAGCGAGAAAAATGACGAGTATGGCATTTCAATTTTCAACAGAAACCACAATCTCGCAAGAACACCGAATAAGGCAAACGCAATGATAATTATAATTTAAATGTACTGCGGATCATAATCAAAAGAATCCAATCCAATCCGAAATGCCATTTGCGGAAAAAAAAAACAGTAAAATGAAACCTTAATACGTAATTATTTGTGTTCCTGGATTCTGCGAAGCACCACCAGCAACAGCAGCAGCAGGAGGAGAAGCAGCAGGAGGAGGACCATCATCAAGAGTATATTATACGTTGTGTGCATATTTACTCATTTGTGATTCTATATCGGGTTGAATTTGTGGCTGCTTATTTCCTCCCCCTATTTTTTTCCATATTACATTTTCGATGCTTGTCTTCAATTTCTGTGGAGCCTTTGTTTTTACAAAGACTTTTCATTTCAGCGCCTCTTCATATGTTCAATGAATGTTTCGCGCTATGTGTCAACCGTATTGAATTCGCTGGAATGGCAAACATACATCCATCGTTTTATTCCATATATTTGTATGTTTGAACGCTGCAGATTGTCAACGGAGTCACGTCGGATAAAATGCAAGATGAAAAAAAAAAAATTAAATTTTC